TCAGGGACGTACCTTGAAATCCAGCACCGACATCGTTAACGTAACCCAGAATGCAATTCGCAAAATGTCTGTGAGATCGTATTTTCATGTCGCCTGTAAGGTCCCATATATTCTCACATGCGCAGTATCGTTGTCCGCCATGACCTATACCAAGTCACCCTGACCTGCGCTATTATCGATCCACGTAGCGACTGACAGCGGTCCAGACGACTGGAGCACGAACTCAAATATCAGAGGCAATCTTTACGGTAGTTTTGCCCCAACTGAAGTAATAACAAAGATATTGCTGTAGGTTATGGTTTTCTGGCTTCTGCCGCCGTGTAGTCTTGTCGGTGGGTGACCTGAAGATGTTTATGATAGTAGGACTTGAGCTGCAACCCAGAAGACAGGCATCTTCGTGTTTAGGATACGTTCCTCCGAAGGGTTGCTAGCCGACCACAAGACGAGATGAGAACTTCAGATTTCGTCTCAAGAAATGTGTCGGTTTCATGATACGCTAATCACCTGGAAACGGGTAGTGTAACAAACTTTCGAAACGTCGTTTAACTGAAATAAGCATTACAGTGTGAACACTTGCTAACACATTTTTGTAATGAAGCAAAATTTGTTTCATTGCTGTCTCTGAATCTCTTTGATTGGTTGTCAAAGTTGTATATGAACAAAATTGCCCATTTTCTTTAACCCTCTGTAAGGTACTAAGGAAATACGAGGTGCGATCGGAAAGTTTCCAGACTGCGCGTATAAAAAAAAAAAACCCGTACACTTATCTCAGGTATTAAATTCATCCATCACCCTCGAAGTAGTTCCCCTGGGAGTGAACACAACGATCTCAGCGCCGCTGCCAAGCCTGGAAGCATCCCTGGAAATCTTTCTTTGTCAGCCTGTCAAGCACCATCTGCGATTCTGCCTGAATCTCTTCTATCGTCTCAAATCTCCTTCCCTTTAGCTGAATTTTCATCTTTGGGAAGAGGAAGAAGTCACACGGAGCTTAGAAAGGAAGGTGGGGTCGGTTCTTGCAAGATCTTTAAACTCCTGACAAACGAGAAGTCGATTCTGCTTCTAGTCCTCTGACAGGATGCGTCGCATGTGGAGTTCTTCCTTTAGAATCAGCTGACAGGTCCCATAGCCTATCCCAAAAATGTCGCACAAGTCGTTGATGGTACGACGTCGATCTTCGTAACAGTTTCGGGCGTTGTGCTCGAAGATGGTCGTCCAGAACGCTCATCATCATCGACAGAGGTTCGGCCATTTTTAAAACGTGAATGCCACACAAAAGTTTGTGCACGACCCATTGCGGACTCCCCAAATGCTTGCTGGGATCGTTGTGTTCACTCCCAGGGGAACTACTTCGAGGGTGATGGATGAATTTAATACCTGAGATAAGTGTACGGGTTTTTATACGCGCAGTCTTGAAACCTTCCGATCGCACCTCGTATCTTGCTTAGAAGAATGGTTATTACTGTATTTATTCGATGTTTGAGAGAAATTGGTGGTAGAGACATGATTTTTCGTTAGTTAAAACTAACAATTTTTTTTTTGGATTTTAGAAATTAGGTTATAGGTTATCGTGGAAATATAAGTTAGTAACAAAAGTTTTCTTTAAGCAAGAACTTTCTTGGAAAGAGTTAACCACTTACAGAGGAGAGCAACATTAAATCCACTGACACGACGGACTGGTATAGCCGGTTCGATGTTTACACTGCGTACGTTTGTACCCAGCCATTACTTATGTCTGTGCACGAACCAAGTTATTGGCCGGATAAATGTCCTACTTTACCTCCAAGTACTATATTTCGTATTAAATGGTCGCCATTGACCCACGGATAGCAAAATGAGAATTGAAACGAACGGCTAATCAATACGGGGCAGACACTCGACTATGGCGAAGTGCCTTTCCAGTTATATCACGTGACTCTGCGTGTCTGCTTTGTGGTATTCCGATAACCATATCACGACTGTATTTTAACTTTCCATAAACATATCAGTTGCAGTGTTTAATGACATTTCGCTATTAATTAGTGCATGTTATTTTCCAAGCGTTATTTTGTTTGTTAATGAAAGCATTAGCAAGAGAAGGTTCTTGTTTTAAGAACAATTTTTGCCTGATGTGGGGGGGGGGGGTTTAGGTTAAGCTGCATTTACATTTGTGGAGGAAAAATAAATTTTGGGTTTAGTTGGAACTTTATCTTCGTTTTCTTACCCGCGACACTCGACTAGAAGGAGAGACGTTGTTCATGGCAAGGTGTCACGTGTTGGGGCAGTTCACCTAGGAACGTGTTGAAACCACAGTTAATTCTTCGAAACAAATATCAACAGTTGTACGGGTTGTTCCTGAATTTATATCAGCGATGTGTGACTGGGAGGTTATCAAAGTTATTGTACCTCTACATATCCGAAATATAAGCATGCACTACAACCTGGTACAGATACGGAATTCTGTCTCATTTCCTGGGCATTCTGTACATTTAACGAAATAGTGAGTCGAGTCATTACTAATTTTATTCCCTTGACGAAACATCTGACGCCAGTCTCAAAAAGCTGGACATGTGGAACACTTATATATCGGTTTGAAATGAAGACAAAACATTCGTGAGAAATTATCGGTCGACTTGCGGCTTTTTTTTCCCTTCTTACTCATGAAAGCCACTCAATCACCTTTTCTTTTTGTGTTATAAATAATAGTGTCGGTATTGCAGGTGTCTGTTTCGTGTTCTAACTCAATTTGCGGTAAACCTAAATTCGATAAAAAAAAAAAGCGGCTAACTTTTGTGCTTAAAGCCAAGTCATAAGCAAGTGTGATTCACGGGCCAACATAGCCGTCCACGCTTCATTTCAAGCTCCAATGAAGTTTAATTAGCCTTTTATCTTCCAGGCTCTGAAGCGAGGGATTTTGAACGTTCTCTGATTCAACTGGTATCTCAGCATCTGAAATTATCGGTCGCGTCGGGGGTCATCTTACGTTCCGCTGGTAACAAGCTAATAGATTCTGAGGATAATTAACTCTTTGATTCCCGAAACTCGTCTAAATAATATTAAAGAATTCAGTCCGTACCGCAAAGAAAGCACAACTCTTCACCATTACAAGGATCAACTGGTTAACGCTGTTTAAGGAAATAATCGTTGTTTACGAGTCTAGTCCGTACCGCAAAGAAAACACCACTCTTCACCATTACAAAGATCAACTGGTTAACGCTGTTTAAGGAAATAATCGTTGTTTACGAGTCTAGTCCGTACCGCAAAGAAAACACCACTCTTCACCATTACAAAGATCAACTGGTTAACGCTGTTTAAGGAAATAATCGTTGTTTACGAGTCTAGTCCGTACCGCAAAGAAAACACCACTCTTCACCATTACAAAGATCAACTGGTTAACGCTGTTTAAGGAAATAATCGTTGTTTACGAGTCTAGTCCGTACCGCAAAGAAAACACCACTCTTCACCATTACAAAGATCAACTGGTTAACGCTGTTTAAGGAAATAATCGTTGTTTACGAGTCTAGTCCGTACCGCAAAGAAAACACCACTCTTCACCATTACAAAGATCAACTGGTTAACGCTGTTTAAGGAAATAATCGTTGTTTACGAGTCTAGTCCGTACCGCAAAGAAAACACCACTCTTCACCATTACAAAGATCAACTGGTTAACGCTGTTTAAGGAAATAATCGTTGTTTACGAGTCTAGTCCGTACCGCAAAGAAAACACCACTCTTCACCATTACAAAGATCAACTGGTTAACGCTGTTTAAGGAAATAATCGTTGTTTACGAGTCTAGTCCGTACCGCAAAGAAAACACCACTCTTCACCATTACAAAGATCAACTGGTTAACGCTGTTTAAGGAAATAATCGTTGTTTACGAGTCTAGTCCGTACCGCAAAGAAAACACCACTCTTCACCATTACAAGGATCAACTGGTTAACGCTGTTTAAGGAAATGATTGCAATTTAAACCGAGAATCATACGAAACGGATGAATACAAAACAAAAATTTATTGATTGTTGAAACAGGTGGGAAATACTCAACAATCCCCGCATGGGGACACCCCAGATAGTTCCCCCACGCCTATTCCCATTCGGGATTTTTAGGTTTTCTTCGTGTTCTTACGTCAGCGTAGAACAATTCATAGGCTTGTTCATGTCTGTGTGAACATGTGGAATTTTTCACAACTCATTGTTGGAACACATTGTTACGCAACAAAGACCTGGGATGAGAGTAGTACAAGAATGATTTAAGGCGCAACAATTATATCGAATCGCATTAGAGCAACAACGACCTACGGGACGTGGCTTTAAGAACACCGTTGGAATGCCAGTGTACTCCATAGAGTACACCCTTCCGGTCATGTTGTTTTCTTGAAAACACTTTTCAGTTTCAGAATACGACACGGCATTGCTCGCCTGCTGTAAAACATCTCATTATGTAATTAAATTCTAAAAGGTTTTGACAACGGTAGTTTATACTTAAAGTTATTCATTGTCAGGACTTTTTTCAATCGTCCGTTCTTTAAAACCACGACGTTTCGGAGGCTGGTTCTGTATCCGTCTTCAGGTGAGGGAGACAGAATCAGCCTCCGAAACGTCGTGGTTTTAAAGAACGGACTATGGAAAAAAAGTCGTGACAATGAATAATTTTAAATCTGATTATCGTATTTTGGACCACAAACAAGTATGATATTAAATAAAAATTTCCTTGGATATTATCCATCGTCTAGTAAAATATAAAACGTAAAACGACGTTTCGGAGATGGGACTCTAGAGCTAATCCCTATCCTGAGATAGGGATTAGCTCTATCTAATGGGCCCAACTGAGGAGGAACCTGAAGACGGAGATAGAGTCCCATCTCCGAAACGTCGTTTTACGTTTTATATTTTACTAGACGATGGATAATATCCAAGGAAATTTTTATTTAATTGACTCTTCACCATCGTCAAGAAGTTTTAGATTTAAAAGTGTGATACTCCGGAAAACGGCTTTATACCGGGTGTTCTCTTTCTGTTGCAGTGGTGGTGACTTCGGCGCCGGGGAACGAAGCCGAGCTGCAGCTGTACCGCGTGATGCAGCGCGCCAGTCTGCTGGCCTACTACGATACTCTGCTTGAGATGGGTTAGTCGGCCTTATGGTCTTAGATATGGTGACTTATATTCAGGTTTGTAGGAAGTTGAAGACGTAAAGTTTAAAGTATCAAAAGATGGATATTGTCAGGCAAGAAAGGAAGACCATATTTAGAGCTAATATCTCCTTCATAATATTAAAATGTGTCGAAACTGGATGATACTTGAATTAGTCGGGAACGTCCGTTGAAATTCAACGGGGATTTTTTTTTCGTGTCATATTTCTTATCCCTTATCTCATTACAACCTCTGTACCCTTTCCTTTTTCCTACCATATTAATCTCCCATCCACTCATTTTATTTATCTGTAAAATTATAATAGAAATTGGGCGTTTGAAATAACGTCTATGAAACTGGTTACAAGAAACATTTTCGAAAACCTTATTTTTAAATTCATCACTTACGAAAGTTAAATTTGCGAAATGTATATCAAAATTCATTAGTTTTTCGTTGTCAATATCACTTCATTGTTGATGGGGGATGGACAAAGGGTCCACAGAGACACTGTCTCGCCATCTAGGGCTTTCTTGTATTGTTATGTTTGTATAATTTACTTTTGAGTGTTGTGAGTTTGCTGTTACCACGCGTGTCCCTTGTTAGATGGAAATGTAGCGTTGGTAGAATGATTACCAGGGGAAAACCGAAGTTCGCGGACTGAAATTTAAGTACCACGTAGAGAACCCTGAATCTAATCGCCTGGTAAATGATACGACAGTGAGAAATCTTCAGTAATGATCATACCTACGAATTATGTATGATACGTTTTTTATGCGTAATAAATTTAACTTAAATTTTTTGATAGACGTATCTTGTATCTTGAAGATAGTGAACTAACTTCTTGTTACAGAATATTATTTTTTTAGACTATCTTTAAATAACAATAATCTTGCCTGTTGTTTTGTATGGGTGTGAAACATGGTCTCTCACTCAGAGGGAGGAACAGGAGTTGAAGGAGACAGGGTCCGGTGGAGGGCTTTGGTTAATTCGGTGATGAACCTTCGGGTTCGGTAAGCCATCTGGTTGGTTGGGTCCACTATTTTGGAAGCCTGAGGGGAAGAGACCTCTGGGGAGACCTAGACGTAGATGGGAGGATAATCTCAGGCGGGATCTGTGGGAGATAGGAGTTGAAGGAGACTGGATTTTGTTGGCCCAGGACAGGGCTTTGGTTAGTTCGGTGATGAACCTTCGGGTTCCGTAAGCCCTCTGGTTGGTTGGGTCCACTATTTGGGAAGCCTGAGGGGAAGAGACCTCTGGGGAGACCTAGACGTAGATGGGAGGATAATCTCAGGCGGGATCTATGGGAGATAGGAGTTGAAGGAGACTGGATTTTGTTGGCCCAGGACAGGGTCCGGTGGAGGGCTTTGGTTAATTCGGTGATGAACCTTCGGGTTCGGTAAGCCATCTAGTTAGTTAGTTAGTTAGTTATCTTTAAATGTGGAACGGGAAATTACGAGAGTCGATGGGGCATGAGCGTTGGGTTGAAGCCGTTTCTGCCCTGAATCTCCACCATCGGCTGTGACCTACATTGCGGGCAGAATTTATGTTAGTTGCAGCCTCGTCTCGACAGGGTTATGGTCCCAACAGTGGCGGGACACGAGCTGTGGACCCTTTTGAACATAGGTAGCAAGTTAGGGCGTTAAAATGTGGACTCTAATGAGTGTATGTCAAACTTATTGGGTTTTAATACTGTATTTGGCTGTCTTCGTGAGGTTTTCTTCGTAATCCTTATATGCAAATGACACCTCCGTACTTCAACAGAGTCTTTTGAATTTTTGAGACCGTCGTTAAATACGCCAAGAAATAATGTACGAGCCAATTATTATTTTAGATGAAACTGAAAAGGCGAATATTAAATTTTTGTAGCCAATTTCAAGTTTCTTTCCATGCGTTTGTCTGTAGTGACTGAGTAAGACAAATTAATTACGCCTAGATAAAAGTTTGAGCCTGGGTAGTTCCGTCGGAATACTGAGTATGCTACGGACTGGACGACAAGGGTTTGACCTCCGGCAGGGGCAAAGAATGTTTCTTCCAGCGTCTGCATCCAGATCGTATCTGGGTATGAGGGTGATTTCCTTGGAGATAATACGACCTGGGCTTGAAGCATAACGAGGTTAAGAATCCATGGAGATATACATTCACCACCCACCCTCCAAAAAAATACCTCTGTGACGTGGTGCTTAGTTAAGCATCAGGGAGGACTTTACCTCTGTGTACCTGCAGACCCACCTTAGAAGCCATATTTTCGGTAATTGGAACAAATGATTAATGTAACATTTCTACTGTGTGAATCGGACTTAAGCAATAAAGATACGCCACTGCTTCTTCAGTGGCTCGTACAGCGCAGTAGCAAACTTCTTGTGCTTTATTTAAAGACTGAATCTCTACTATCGAAGTCTGGGCACAGACTTTATGTAATATGTCTCGATTGTTTTGATACAATTACCCGCTCTTTTTATATAAAATGTCGCAGTCTGTTGGCTGCACGTAGATGGCATGACCATTAATGTAACCATAAGGGACAGAGTTCGTATCCCGCCGATAACTGACTTGTTGTTCTGTGTCGTGTTTCCCATTGAAGTTGGCTGTAATGATATTTAACGACGCCTTTCCGTTCATAAGGGATAATTACATAAACGTAGACACTGATTAGTTAAGGATTTGGAAGCGTGTGTTCATATCGTTTTCGACAAGGAACATTGAGGCAAATCATAGACAGACAGACAGACGCACGCAGATGTATCGGGAAAAGTTTAGGTTCTAACCGGGCGCTTTGGAAATGTAAAATGAAACAAATTAAATTGTCGTAATGCGAATGACCTTGAAAATTGCAGGTCATCTTTTATTAATTTATTAAGATCTTATATAAACAGGGACGATGCATCGGATGTACATAGCCAGAAGATTACGTGACGTATCAAACCAAAGATCACCATTTCTATCTTCGTTGCAATGGAAACCTCAAATATGCTCTTTCTTTATGAGCCGATGGTCGTAACAAATGGTTTTTCGATATTCGTTATGAGAACGTATGGAGATCTTCTCACTAGATGGCAACAGATCGCACTGCGCTTTAAAGGGTGAATTTGTGATGTCGGTTTAAACAAGTTAAGAAAGTTTTCCTTCGCAGGTGGTGACGATGTTCAGCAGCTATGTGACGCGGGCGAGGAAGAATTCCTGGAGATCATGGCGCTGGTCGGGATGGCTTCCAAGCCACTCCACGTACGTCGCCTGCAGAAGGCTTTGCAGGAGTGGGTGAGCAACCCCGGTAAGTCAGCATCAACCCCCTCTGACTTAAATTTGTTCCAGAAGGGTTGGCGATACTGAAATCATAAACTTAATTCTTGAGCCGAAACACCACGCCCTGAAGTCTTGTAGGGGCTTGGAGGTAAATCTCAAAAAATTGTGATTTTGATAACTAGATAGAGGCGTGATTCGAGCTCCGGCCGCTTTATACTCGAAGAAAGAAACCCCCATTACCAATTCAACAGCAGGACAGGGGAGCCTCTGGAATCACTACTCACGTCAGCATTGTGAATATATATTTTTTCTCTGCCGGAAAGAAAGAACGATGTATCACAACCGCCATTTTGTGTTTTCTCCTGCTGCCAGGAATTTGGAAGGAAGTGGTCATAGCTTAACTCAAAGCATTGCCCCCAGTATTTTCTTGTAGGTACTGAAGAAAACCACGAAAATATTTCGTCAAGAGACGCCGAGGTTACAACTCGGTATCTCTGTTAACCAATCGAACAACAGGGAAAAAAAAAACCTGTTTCTTTGCGGAAGGATTCCGTAATTGTGACTACTCCGTCCGGTCTGTATGTATACCTCCCTCCACACACGCACTGTGCTGTTACTTTGTGAAGCTCGACGAGAAATCTGGACCGTTCACCATCAGTTGCTGGGGGGGGGTGGGGCGCCGTGACGGGCACAATCATCATCATTCTGCACATATCCAAGCAGACATAAATTCTATTGACAATGCACATACTTTTTTTTCTGTGGTCTTACAGTCAAGAATTTTTCCACAATCTGCAGCAATGATAAAAAGAAATACTCCATCATGTTCAGTTGAGATTCTCGCTGCTTCGTGACTTACCGCTGTAGACAGACAGACAGTAAGTGCGTTGTAGCTTTGAAACAAAACAGGCCTACGTCACATGTCGGTTAATGGTGCCCAACGTTTATGTATGGTCGACATTATGTATCGATATTTATAGGCACTAATTAACGAAATATTATTGTTGGATAAATATCTGAAACTGAACTTCGTGTTTCGGCGTTTGAAATGCCGTGTATATTCAGGATCAGCCTTTACCATGGTCTAGTTCTCCAGCGTCTCTCATTTTAAGTTTCCACAGACCGATGTTTCCAATGTCCTGTGCTTCGAGGACGTTGTCTCTTCAGGGTCCGATGTTTTCAGCATCCCGGGTTGTGTGTCCTAATCTCAGCTTAAACAAGAGTTGAAATGAAGTGGACAAAACTGCATCCAAATTGAAGATCTTCCATTCTTGTCTTTACGGATTAGGAAACTTGTTTGCCTGTACCAATCTGAAAATCTTTATTCCAGAATCCCCATGACCTTCGTCTTAGGATTCTGTTTGGGTTTGCAGTCTCATCGTGTTTTTATCCCAGGACACTGGTTTCCTCAATCAACCTCTGTTTGCAGACCGGATCTGCCGAACTGTGATGCTCCTTTATTTTTTTTATCGGGCTTTATGCGTTTCAAAAAATTCTCGTAATTTAAACGAATTTAAAAATTTTCAAAATTCAGGGGGGGTGGGGGGGGGGGGGGAATGATTTTTTTTTTATTTTGTGAAATTGTCCAAAATTAGGTAAGAGTCACAACTTTTAAAAAAAAAAATTCGTCGTCCGAGACACGTAGCCTTTATAAGAGTTTATCAAATGTAGTGTACTCGGAGTAGTGACTACGCGATCGAGGTTCGAATCCCGACGACCGCAATTGATTCTTCTCTCAGCCTCTGCCTCCAGACCGGATCTCCGGACCTGTTTGCTTCCTGCGCGTTACGTAACGGGTTTCATAATTGTAAAAAAAAAAAAATCATATTTCGCATAATTCATATAAAATTTAATGATATAATACAACCATATTTGTGTCTTTTGCAACTACGAACAAGGTTATCAGCGTTCCTTTGTTTCCGGGTATCAGGGGGTAATTGTCGACGGTGCAGGCGACTGCAATAAACCAGTCTGACTGCCTTCAACATCTTCTCCTGCCTCCCCGTCTGCTCCTTTCGTCTTCTTCTTAATCTTCTTTTGCTCGTGCTGCTGCTTCGGTTTATTAAAAACCTCTACAAAAACAAGGATCTCCTTGGAGACGAGTGACGTCAGCTGTTTTATTGGTCCCTGGAGCGAGTCTAGATGGAGCTGAGCTCGCGGGCCTGCGAGAAAAAAAAACGCATCTCAACTGTTTTTGCGGGGCCGATGTTCAAGTCTATTGGTTACCGAGGGCGTATCTCGCCTGAACATCACACACCAGTGTTAAGGGCCAAAGGCTCGTGTATCTGGGCCCAGCATTGTGATTATCTCTGGAATACGCGAGTTAGGATCGAGGGTTTTTTTAAACCTGCTTTGATTTTTGGAGTGGACTGTAGTCACGTTTGCCTGTGAGGTCCGTCACCGGATTTATAATCGATTTTATCCAATATTATCTACGTAGAGTTGATGACGTGAATTGAAATACGTAGTTTTGAATTATTTCAACGATAAGCATTTCTCTCTCAGTATCTTCTTCATATTTTTGTATCCAATCTTATTTATTCTTTCTTTAATATGTGAAGACTGTTTAGTGGCACAAACGAAGATATTTCGTCATCTCCGTATTGGGAACGCGTGGCGTGAGTGTCTTGTTATACGACGCCCTAGATCAAGTGATAGAGGAAAGTCTGTAGTACTTTTGCCATTTAAAGACCAGTGGTAATTATGTGTACCACCTGAATTAAAGATCAGTAATTCTACAACTTATCCCGCAAAGTATATAATGAGTTCCATTTGATTCTCATGGGAAAAAAAACAAAGATTATTTTCCAGAATAAAATTTGTGTTTTTTATTGTGACGTTCTTGCGCGTGGACTGGACGTTTAAATATTATTTAGATAAACTTGGGGCTTCGAAGGGTTAAATGTCGGCTCTCTGTCATATCTGGATTTCCGAATGTTTCGCAGGGATATAGTGTCTCCATCTTCAGGGCTGAACTAATAACTCCACCGCTACATTAGGTTTCAGCTGTTTAGTAAAGATAAGCGAGTGTTTTTCCTTTTCGTCGTCAATGAAAAAACTGTTGTGTCCTGCGTCGATGAACGCGCATAGGAAACTGCAGCCAGAACCTGTCCTCTGCTTCCCTCCAGCTCACTTCTTCATAATCCTTTGAGGTCGGACAATTAACATGCGAGAGAGAAGTCTGGATCAAGACATTCTCTCAAGGCCTTCTTCCCGAAGCTGCGCTACAGAGAGGTTTTTTTTTTGGAGGGGGGGGGATGATGAAAAAAGGGGTAGCGAAGCAGCAGGAGCAGATCTGGGGCCAGTTT